GGCGCCGCCAGGAGGCGCGCTCACGGGATCGGGACCCGCATCCCCGAGACCCGGCCGAGGCCCGGGCGGGGCCAGAGCGGGATTGGGGCGGGGCGGGGCGGGGCCTGGGCTGCGGTCCCACCGCGTCCTGAGGAATGCGGCCTTTGGCTGGTCCCCTGTCCACATTCCGGCCAGCGCAGGAATGTGAACAGGGTGTTCACTGCGCGCCCTGAACGCACATGTTCGGTCCCCTCCCGTCAGAGAACGCCAGGCAGCGGCTCGAGGTCAGACGCCCTCTCTGCCACCCCACAGAGCCCGCAGAACCTCTAGGTGGATGACAGGAAAGTGAAGGCTGTCAGGCCAGATGGGACTCAGGGCCAGGACCCTGGCAGGGGGGCTTTGAGAACCAAGTGTAGTTTAGAAAAGGAGGGGAACCAAAAGTAGTCCACCGAGGCATGGAGAAGGCCAGGCCAGTAGCTGGAAGGGATATACGGTATAGGAAGGGATATAGGATCGCCACTCTCCGCCACTAGCCTCAAGAAGCGCAGAGTTCAGACCCCGAGAATTGACTTATTTTTAGGGCATATCGTGGACGACAAGGCCTGGAGAGAAGAAGGGAAAGCAGACGATCCAGTTTGGGATTAGGTGCTCTCTGACCCGCCAGGGAGTGACTGAATGCTCAAGAGTAAGCATTTAATTCATTCAACAAATATTTATCGAGCCTCTGTGCCAGTCCCTGGGCGAAACTCTGGTAGCACAGAGGTGAACAAGACATCCTGTTTTTGATGAGCTGACATTCTGATCCTAGAGACAGTTGCTGAAACACTCAGAGAGAGCAAGGAAGCCCAAAGTGTTGGAGAACACACAGGAATAACCCACATTGAGGTGGAGATCCAGGAGGGCTTCTTGGGGGAAGCTGCAAAGGGATCTGAAGAGCCAGTAGGAGTTAGTCCAAAAGATGGGTGTAGAGTGTTTTAGATGGAAAGAACCTTGTGTGTGGAGGCTGAGGGAAGAACATGTTGTCTGAGCGGCCCCCAAGAAGAACATGGGCTTGCCCTCCCCACAAGTACGTACCAGATGTTCAGGTGAGTCACAGCTGGGATCAAGGTGTCCACCTCAGTCAACACCATGATATTTGTTGGTTTATGGAACCTCCATCCTGCAGAAGGCACAGTAGTAGGCTTGTAAGGAGGTTAAGGAAGATTGGGAATCGTCATAATGCTTTCGAGTGTTGCAGAGACTGAGAAATAGGGCCCATAAAGTATCTAGTACCTAATAAGTGCTCAGTTAACATCGACTGGTCTTTCAACACCTGGCCTGATTCATTGACTCCTCTTCCTCTTCAAGGTAGCCATTTCTGCCTCTGAAAAGGGCAGCTGTCCAGTCCTTCATCTCTGAGGAGATACTTGGCCGGGGGCGGACACTGTGGGGCTGCTCATGGAACTTCCTGTTTTTTTTGTCCCTCTCTGATTGGGAGTGGGTGAGGGGAGCATGCAAGAGATAAGAGTGATGTGGTCGATTATCATAAAGGTTCTGAATGAAGCAAGGAAGGTCAGGGCCAGGAAGGCTAGATTTGGGCAATAGTCCGGGAAAAGAGTGATAAAAGCCCCATAAGAGCTAAAGTGGGGAAGATAGAAAGCAGTACTGGGACATAGAGACAGAAAAGGTAGATGAGACCAAACTCTTCAGCTTCTTGGCTGCAAGGTGGGGCCAGGACTCTAAATCCACTGTTAGATCGTTACCTGTTACGGGTAATATGGGTCTGATCAAAGGAGGCCACAGAGGATCATAGCCTGTGTGTCCCTAATGTCCCTGAGTGATGGAACAGGAATGTTTACATCCAGAAATTCTTTGTCAGGCCCCCCTCCCAGGAATGCACTGGGACCCAAATTCTTCTGTGCAGAGGAAAAGTGCAGGCCTTGGAATGGCTTCTCCAGCATTGTTCCTTGGCAAACACAGGAAGATGGGTTTCCTTTAGATTTGTGGTGCTGACAACTGAATCCGGACCCCTCCCCCACGCTTTGGGTCGGGGGAGGGAAACAGAGGACCAGGCAGTGGATGGAAAATAAACACCCACCTCTGCTCCTCTGACTTATTTCATGTTCTTAGAATTTCCTCTCTTGGAATCTGGCTTTGTTATTTAAAAATTCCACACATTGGTTGGAGCTGGGAAAATCCCTTCTTGCGGTTGCTATGGAGAGGCCTCTGTCCGCCCGGTGCATAGGCCTGGCAGTGTGGCCAGTGGGCCTGGGCCTGCAGCCCAGAATCCAGGTGAGCTCCTGACTCAGCCTATGTGAGGGAAGCTCTTGGGGCTGGATGTGTGTGCCTCTGTGTGAGCACGTGCTCATGTCACAGTGGGGATGGGGCAGTGTTTTGGTTCCAGCTGTCTGGGCCATGGCCAGGCTAGAGTAGTGATGGCACCGTTGGGAAATGGTGGGGACCTCCAAAGGGGCCTCCAGATGGTCCTGTGCAGTGTATACACTGAGAGGACACCCTGACCACCAGAGAGCTGTCCCCTGCCCGTGTAACTTAGGCTGTCTCCTCTCCTGGGATCTGCATAGTAGACATGTGGGTGCTGTGCTTCCCTGTTCGGTGTGGCTTCTGCCTCTTGCCCTTCTCTCCTAATACCCACTCCCCACAAGAATGATCATTATAGTGTTTTCTTCCTTCACCAATTCATTCATTCA